GGTTGAAGCCGCTGCAACGTTGAATGCGGGAGCGATATGAAATAGTGTATGGCTTCGAAATTATTTTTAAAATTATATACCCAAGCAGGTGCGTGTTCCAAGCTTGGAGCAGTGATATGCATCCATCATCGCAATGTAATTTTAATAAAAATAGCACCGCGTCCCAACCGGCAGAGTCCGCATCATTGAGCATGGTGACCCTGAGCCGCGTGGTCGTACTCGCGGGCCTGCTCGCCGTCGCCGCTGCCGAGGGCCTCCTCCGCATCCCGCTCCAGCGCAAGCCCAAGGCGCCGTCGGCCGCACCCGTCGGTCTGAACCCGTCGGACCTCCTCTCGGCGAGCGCGGTCTTGGCCGCTGGCTACGTCCCGCTGACCAACTATGTCGAGTTTCAGTTTTACGGCGAGATTAGCATTGGCACGCCGCCGCAGAAGCTCCAAGTGTGCTTTGACACGGGCAGCTCCGACCTCTGGGTGCCGGCGAACGAGTGCGACCACTGCGCGGGTACGCACCGCTATGCGCGCAACGAGTCGTCGACATTTGAGCTCGCGGCCGACCCGAACTTTACGGTCGCGTACGGCAGCGGCGGTGCGCGTGGCATTGCCGGCACTGAGACGATCTCCATCGGTGGGTTCTCGGCGTCTGAGGTGCCCTTTGGCGTCGTCCAACACGAGCAAGCGTCGCTCTCCAACATGAAGGCCGACGGTCTCCTCGGGCTCGCATTCGACGGCCTCGCAACGATTAGCCATCCGCCCGCGTTCATGCTGCTCGTGCTCCAGAACGCCAACCTCGCGCCGCAGTTTTCTTTCTACTTGACGCCCGAGCCCAATCAAGAGGGCTCAATGCTGCTTTTGGGCGGCGGCGACCCGAGCTGGCTCGACGGCGCCTCGTACATGACCTTCGACGTCGTGCCGCAGTACGGCTACTGGACGTTCTGGCGCGTCCAAGTCCACAGTCTTCTCATCGGCAACCGGCTCAACGCGTGCGATGCCGGCTGCATCGCCTTTATCGACACGGGCACGTCGCTCCTCGGCGTGCCTGCGCCGCTCTACGCCGGCGTTCTCGACGCGATCGCGCAGTATGCGACCCGCGCCGGCTGCTACTGCATGCTTACGGCGTACGGATACCAGTGCTACATGTGCTCGGCCTCGAATTTCCCGCCCTTGCGCATCGGCTTTGGCGGCAGCGGGTACTTTGTCTTGACGGGCGAAGACTATGCGCTGTGCATGGGGGCGACGTGCCTCATTCTACTGCAGCCGTCCGGCCAAGACATGTGGACGATCGGCGACGTGTTTCTCAAAAAGTTCAAGTCGCTCTACGACGTGCGCAAGCGAACCGTGGCGTTTCTGTGCCCGGACGACTCGCCCGAGATTTGCGGCCCGGAGCGCGACGACGTGACGCCAAGAGCGTTCCTCGACAATATGAGTCTCAGTGCCATGGACGCGCACACCATCCTCATCCTCTTTGTCACGGGGTGCTCGATCCTCGGCAGCGTCTTCATCGTGCTCACGTATTTCATGTACCCGATGCTCCAATCGAAGCGCGTCCTCGTGCTTCTCTACTACCTCAGCCTCTGCCATCTCGTGTACAATGGCACGCTCTGGGTCAGCGCGCTCTTTCAGTACTCAAGTGGCTCGGCCGGGTGTAGTCTGCAGCTCGTGCTTCAGCAGTTTGCCGGCGTCGGCACGCTTCTTCTCTCGGCCGTCATTAGCATTGAGCTCCTCCGCGCAGTCCGTGGCTGGCAGAGCCACACGAAGGACTACTCGGCCGTCTACCACTCGGTCATTTGGGTCATCTGCACGCTCTGTGGCTGCGTGACCATCTGGACGGGCGTCCTCGGCTATGTGCCCGACGCGTACGGCCCGAGTCGGTACGAACTGCTCGCTCGCCGGTCGTGACGATACTGATGCTGGTCCATTAGGGCGTGCTGGGCCGAGCATACGCCAGCGTGGGGCCGCGTGACGTTCTTCTACGTACCGGTCGTGTGCACGCTGCTACTGTCGCTCTATGCCGTGTTCGCCGCCTTGCACCGGCTCCAGAGCACCAACTTGATCCAAACCGAGTCGGGTCGCCGGAGTTCGCGGCTTCTTGTGTCGTATGTGAGCGTGCTCGCCATCTCACTCGTCGTGCCGACCGTCGTCGGCGTTCTCTCGCTCTACATGACGATTCCCGAGAGTCTCTCATTTGTGAGCGAGCTCTGCTTCTACTCGCAAGGGCTCCTCCACGGCTTTGTGTGGGCGTGCAGCCCGTCGTTCCAGCAAGCGTATGCCCAGCGCTACTACATGATGGGCGACGAAGAGGTCGCTTGCTTGGTGACCGAGTAAGCGACCAAGTGTCGCTGTTGTCCATACGAAAACGCTGCTACGCTAATAGAAGTCGTCTCCTAATTGCTCGTGGTCTTTGACTTCGTGGTGGCGTCGTTTCGAGTTCCGAGTGGCAACCTCGTACTGCACAGGTAGTCCTCGGTTGTCTTGTTCTTATAGGTCTTATTGCTCGAATTGATGGCTGGTCACGGAAAGCGCCGTACTACTGGTACCTTGACTGCACTATCATATTCTATTTGCGCTTTGGCCGTGACGACACCCAATCGTGACCGACAAGAAACGACATGGGCGATGTGCCACATGGTTGGACGCGGAGAGATGAGCCTTGCCCTCGGAACCGCAGTTGGGACAACGGGACGGCGCCATGGCAATGGTCCACCTGCCGATAGCGGTGCGGCACGCGCATAAATGTGGCTTGGGAGACAAGATGTCGAGCGATTTGCGTCCTACTGAAATCGCCATGTCGCACGCCTCACGAGTGGCGTCGGCTCTAGTGCTCCGCCTTCGACAACGAAGTTGTCCCGTCTACCAATGGTACTTGGATTGGCGATCGCGTCGTGGGCTGTCTTGGCGTCCGTAGCATGGCCTGTCTCGTTGACGCAACCGTTCCTGGCTCGTGCGTCGGGGACAAGAAGACTGGGAGTTTAAACTGCTTCTGGCAGTTGACATCAGGCGTTCGTTGGCCTGCGGCGACGATAGGACGGTCAAAGTCACCACCTTGGCATAGTGGGTGATCCAAAGTAGCCACGTCGACGGGAGAGACGTGAAGATTCTTGTGCCGTCGATGGGCACACGCCGCGTTATTGCGTGCATCAAGTCGTCTCCATTGATGGAGATCTAGTCACCGTTTACTCGCTAAACTCTGCAGACGAGGCATTCTAGGAGCGCTGCAAATGTGTCGTTGACAACTTGTCTCGGTAGCCATCGCAATCGAGACGTGTGACGTCACGTGGGTGCCGGACAACAGCTGCGTAACGAGCATACCCGACTCCGCTGGGAGCGCGAGGAGGAATGCTGGCCCGTGCTATGTCTGTCCATCGGTCTGCTGCCTCCGCTCTAGGCGAGATCAAGGACCGCAGTCGACGGTGTTTGGGCAGTCACCCAATGCTTCGTCCATGGGAGCCTGCGCCTGTACCGCCAAGTCTGGTTCCACGACGTCGCTGGACAGCCTCGTCGTACGTACTGTACCCAAGGCGCACGGCCAATTCATCGTGTCTTTGGTGCTGAAAAGGGACGCGACTGCTGCCGTCAGCGATGCGTCGCCGCTGGATCGAGGCAACACGGACGACATTTCCATACACTGTACGAGGATACAGCTGTATCCATAGGCGCGGATTTTTTGCTGGCTCTTCTTGGAGGCGCAAGGACAGTCGAGCAGCAGTACATGATGTCATAGCAACTTCTAACCCTCCCGCGCCGGAGGATGCGTGTGTCCCGCTCGGCTTTCTAATATCAGCCTAAAAATGAAGGCGTCGCGTCGGTCGTCGAGGACCGTTCGATGCAACCATCTGATTCTTCATACCAAGATTCGTGGCGTGGAGCGACGGTCGCACAGACAGGACAACATGTGTTGCATCGACCAGGCGATGTGTCGACCCCATGCCCAAGCACGTTCATACGAGCGGATATGCCGGCTCATGGTGCACCACAGAAGAGGCCACTTCGCTCCTACCACGATATGTACACCCGAAAACACAATGTCGGCGTCCTTGGTACTGCGTCTAAGCCCGTGGTGATATATCCCGTCGCGTCTCCTCTCTACGCGTACAGTGTTTCTGTCGTGGTGTTGTGGGCACTCGAGGCCCGCCTGTCGGCGGCGTCGTTGCCGTGTGTCAGCTCGTGTCTTTTCCCCCGCTTGGTGCGACGGCTCTCATTGCCGCTTTTGCCCTATTGCCATGACAAAGTACGAATACTACCTCGGCGCGCTGGGCCTTGTCGCGGGCCTCTCGCTCTACGTCGGCCTCCGGGCGCCGTCGATGCGCACGCTCCTGCTGACGTGCCTTGCGTGGATCAAGGGCGTCCCGATCGTGTGGGTCGACTCGCCGGCACTGGCCGCCAAAGTGCTCAAGGCGTCGACGTACAAGGGTGTCTTTATCGAGCGCGTCTACGGTGAGCCCGCGTGGTTCCCGATCGTGTCGCTCGAGTCGGTGGACGACCCGCAATGGAGCCGCATGAAGGCCAACCTGATGCATCTCATGAAGAAGCTGCCGTCGTCGCAGGCGCTGCAGACCATCACGGCTCGGATCACCGACAAGTACCTCGCCGAGCACGAGATTCTGGACTCGAACGGCGTCGTGTACATCACGGTCGCTGCGTTCTACGAGTGGATCTTTGCCAAGGCGTTCCCGGACGACGCGAAGTTTGTGTGCGACTCGACGTGGGAGTGGCGCAAGGAGCTTGCGCTCAAGGGCAAGGGCGACATGGCGCTCAAACAACGCGTCGTCGAGTGGACGGTCGAGCAAGTCAAGGCCACGCCGGCGATTTATGAAATTTTTGGCGAAAAGTGGGCCGAGCCCGAGTACTTTTCGCTTTTGCTCCAACCCTTCTTCCTCTCGCCCGCGATCAACGTCTCGGACGTCGCCGTCACCATGGGGTCGCTCGCGCGCCGGGAGATGCTCGACGAGAACCTTGGCGACACGATCAACAAGGCACTCGACATGGCGCATCCGTTTGTGATTGCCGAGCGCTTCTTGGAGCACGGCCTCGAGACGGACGACATCAAGATCGCGCCCGGCACGCAGGTCTTTATCCCGATGGACTACATGACGACAGACAATGTGATTCGGTTCGGCGCGGGTGCGCGCAAGTGCCCCGGGCAGTTCCAGGGCACGGCGCTCATGCTCGGCCTCTTTCAAAAGCACGTGCTGGAAAGCCCCAAGTTTCAACCAGCGCTCAACCACAAGTACTCGGGGCGCGACCAAGACGGCCAAGAGACGTTCTCGGAGCTCGTGTACCAGGCGTACGTCATTGGCGCGTCGTTCTATGATGCGATCGTGACGGCGCTCTCGCCGGTCAAGACCGCAGCCTAGTTGTCATCTTCTTTGTAACTCTAATCCAGTCGTCGTGCTAATAACATACTGTGCGCTGTCCACGCCACTGACATAGCGATTGCTTTCTTCGGTTGCTGCTTTTCGAGACGTCAAGAGTCCTGTTCTAGGCATTTGGCATGCTTGTGGTAAGCGAATCACGTGTCACTTGAGTTGGGCTTGGGATGCCAAGACCCTTCACAATCATAATCTTGCACGCCTAGTTGAATGACGCCAAGAGCCCCGGCGCAAGCTCCCGACGTCAACTCATTGGCGGTACTTGAGAATCCAAAGAGCTCAAAGCCAAACTGTTGAATTGGGCAGCACCGTCCAACTTCAAAGAATTCCAACTTTGTACTTTTCCTACGACGACGCTCTGCCTCGCTAGTCTAGGTATACGATGAGGCGACTTCGGCAAGAGTCTTGGTGCTAAACCACAGTCCGACCACGCTAGCGACTTTAGCGTTGGACGACCACAAAACGACCAGAACTGTTGACATGAGGCCTGGTCCACCCCACTCCCGACAACAAATCTGTATTACTCATTCATTTGCTATAATACACAGTGCGTTGTTCTGTGATCATCCGCTGCCCTCGCACGCTTACCCAAGCTATTCTCGTTAGATCGTTGCACAGAGTAAGCATCCCGCGCTTCTGGCCTAGAGCGATACCGTTGCGCCACGGCTGCAAGCCAGCTCTCATTGTGGCATCATCTCAAGGTGTTTATGCGCAGACCTTCAAGTTTGCTTTGCAAAAACACTTGACGTAGGGTCATTTTAGCACTGCAAGCAGCAACCGTGATGGGTGAGATGCGTCCATCGCAGGCTGAAGATTGCGTGTTCGCCACCAATTTCACCAGCACCCCTGCGGTACCGCCTCCAATTTGGTGCGCGATGGCGCCCAGTCCGATACCAAGCACTCGCTTGAAGACCACTCTGCACGCTGCAGTTGTAGTCAAGGTGCTGATATACATGTAGTGGCCAGTCCTTCCCGCCCTTTTACTGAAGTGCCAAGTAGCAAAGGCGCTGGTAAGTACCAATGCCTGCTAACGTTTTACGCAGCGTTGAAAGGCCTAGCAAACTAGCACAAGAACTGCATACGTGACTGTTGCATCTGAGAATAATCAAGCGTGTCCTTCAGAGTTGACCCTGGGAGCTGTCCTCTGCCCTTGACGCCAAATGTGCTGCGTTTCGCCTCCTTGTCTCTCGCTTCAGGAATCCAAGCTAACTCATGTCGTGTTTTTGTTACACATACAGCCGCGTTGTCGGCAGCAGCAAATCAAATCCTTGTGCGTTGGCGATTGGTGGAGGCTGGACCAATCGTTGCGCCTGCGTTCGTGTACCCTTGACGGCAACCATTGATTTTAAAGAGCACTTGCCTATCATGGACATGTCGCCATCAGCTTTTCCACCGGATCTCGGTACATCGAACGACCCCGCTTCAGATCGTACCCACCACACGTTTCCACATTGGACCATCTGTCTGCGAGATTGCACTTTTGGATCTGCCAGCAGCCAATCCACATCGAGTGTGCGTATGATTGGACAAACATAAGCCAATCACGATAAATGTAGGGTATCTAATCTTTTGCAACGGATGTGCTGCAGTTCCTGCCGCACTACCACGTGGAGATAACCCACGTCCTCGTCCTACTCTATGACAATAAACAACCTGCGACTAGGAGAGGTACCGCTGCCCTGTCTAAATGCAAGCAAAGCATCACACGTTGTGTGTGGTGGCGTATTCCCGGGCGTTCAATTCATTCACTTTGGTTTTTTCCTCTTTCCAGAGAGCATGGCTCCCAATACACCCCATGCTGTCGTCCATGACGGCCATTTCCAACAAGTGACGACGCCCGCGTCCTTTGATGTGGCGCCGAAGACGAAGGAGGCCCCAAAAGCCTCGCTCGTCCGGCTCAGTGCGCATTGGCTCGTCGGCCTCTTGCTCGCGCTCTCGTTCTGGCCGCCGTCGACGTTCACGGACAAGATTTCCAACAAGTTTGATCCGTTCCTGAAGCGCCTTTGGGGCATTGACCCCAAGGTCAAGGGCTCGGGCCACTCGGAGATGACCAACTACACGTACTTCTTCTTTGGCAACATCTTGCCCATCTTTGTGGCGTTTTTGCTTGTGCGCTTGGTGACCAAGGGCGCACCGGCGCCGATCCCGAGCCTCTCGCACTGGCTCAAGCGCAAGCCGCGCTTCCTTGGCTCACTCGTCAGCTACGGCGAGATTCTCTTCCTCGCGATCGTCATCTTCGGCAACGTCATCGTCTTCATGGGCTTTTACAACCTCAAGGTCGGCCCCAAGTCGACGTACGCGAGCAAGATCCGTGTCTCGGCCAAGTCGCTCGGCTTCTCGAGCTTGTGGAACATGGTCTGGCTCGCGCTCCCCGCGTCGCGCCACTGCTTTTGGATGGAGTGGCTCAACATCCCGTACGCCCACGGCATCAAGTACCACCGCTGGCTCGGTATTGCGACTGTCTTTACGATGGTGCTGCACGTTGGCTTTTACATTGGCGCGTACGCCCTCAGCGACGAACTGATCAAGCTTTTGCCGTGCTTTGACTGCAACCTTGCCACCAAGCCCGGCAAGGAGCGCTGGATCAACGCGTTTGGCTGGCTCGGCACGTTTTGCATGCTTATCATCATGGCAACCTCGATCTCGTACGTGCGCCGGCGCTACTACAACGTCTTTTACGTCACGCACTTTCTCTTCATCCCGACGACGCTCTTTTCGATTATGCACTGGGGTGGCATGGTCATCTGGCTCTTTGCCGCCATCGTGCTCTACATTGGCAACCGCATGATGTCGTCGGCCACGATCTCGGCGCCCGTTGTCGTCCGCAAGGCCATCTCGTACCCGCACCAGGTCACCGAGCTCGTCGTCGAGTGCGAGACGCACTACCAAGCCGGCGACGTCGTCTACCTCAAGGTCCCGGCCGTCTCCAAGACGCAGTGGCACCCGTTCAGTGTCGCGTCGACGCCGCTGCATACGCCTGGCATGATGACGATTTACCTCAAGAACCTCGGGCGCTGGTCGAGCCAAGTGTTCGAGTACGTCCGTCAGTGCAACACCGCCGGTGTCGACCCTATCATCTACATGGATGGCGGGTACCCGTCGCCCGCGCTCGTCTCGTCGTCGTTTGAGAAGGCTGTTTTCATCGGCGGTGGCATCGGTGTCACCCCGCTCATGGCCCAGATCATGCACATTCTGCACACGGATGCGCACCAGCATGTGCATTTGATCTGGCACGTGCGCGACGTCCACATGATGGTGCAGTTCCAGCAGTGGTTCCACGAAGCGACCGCGCTGGCCGACCCGGCGCGCCTCCACTTGCATTTGTATGTGACGCAGCCGCCGACCGCGGTCATGACGATCCAGGACATGCCGATGACGTCGATGGTTGCGTTTGACCTCAAGGCCTCTTCGATCCCGGCGCGCCCGTACGCCAACATTTCCGTGACCCGCCAGGTGCTCCTCATGACGGTGGCATTTTTCTGTGCTGGCGGTCTTCTCGTTGCCGTGCACTTCAAGAACAACTCGATCGAAGGCGCGTACCCCTCGTACTGGCCGCTCCAGCGTGCGGTCGAGTTCCTCGCCGTTGTCGTCGGCGCCTACTGGGCGTACGTCGTCATCTTGATCAAGCCGTACAAGCCCATGTCGACGGCCATGGCCAAGACGCCGTTGGACAACAAGGCCTCGGAGGTTATGACGATCGACGCGTTTGTGACACACTACAAGGTGCAGTACTGCCGCGCCGACTGGCCGTCGCTCTGGGCGCAAATTACGAGCGGCGTTCAGAAGACACTGACGCCCAAGATCGGCGTCTATGTCTCGGGCCCCAAGACGCTGTCGCGCGCCGTCGATGCGATGGCCAACTCGACGCTCTTCGATGTCCACCACGAAGAGTTTGAGATGTAGAGGCAGTGGTAATAGCAATGCAAATGTATACAATGTGTGATGTACTTGACTTTATTCGTTGGTCGCTTGGCGCATCGTATGCACTGCAACCATACTATATCAGCCGATTAAATGGTCAGTTGCACAGCAATTGCTTACGCCGGCAGGGCTTGGAGAAGGAAAGGAAACGCCAGCAGTGGCAAGTACCTTCTGCTGCCAGCCGCAGCCGCACAGGGAAGAGGCATTGCTACGCCCACACGTTCTACCTTTAAATTCTAGTGTAGGAGGAGTGCCTACTGTATGAATATGTCCACACGTTCGTAGTTGGAACGTACTACTCTAAAGGTACTAATCAAGGCCATGCCGCCGACGCTGCCGACGCAGTCTATTTCGAATCGTCGATGCCAGCTGCGAACCAAGCTGAACAGAAAATGCGACGGCAAAGCAATGATAGTCCAAGCGCGCTTCAACAATGTTCGTCGATCAACCCTAGCCCTTGTAGCCGAGATACGAATTGCACATCCTTTGCGTCATCGAGACTTCGAGTCGATATCGCCCGCTGTGTCTTAGTTGGTGCTGGAGCAGTGCAGGACCGACCACCACCAAACAGTACTAGTATTAATTTGCTGTAGTCTTTGTGCCAAGTTGCATAGTATGTGTCTACGACCGAGTAAACACCGAGAATCAGTAGTCCCATGTGGCATTTATTGGAGCAGTCGTTTATGTGCGGTCGTGGATGCATCGTAGTGGTGGTAAACACAGTACCCGTACCCGCATGCACTGCGGGGTCCCCTCCAGACGTTGCAAGCGTGATGTCGCGTCTCGTGGACGCCTATTTCTGGCTGCATCACCCATCACGACGGCGCAGTCTCAAAGCGCCAAGTTGAGCATCCTCTTGAATGTATCGAGAACCCTGAACCCGTTGACGTTTCGGCGCCTGTCCGATCGGCATTTTCCCGCTCCTCATCCGTTGGTTCCAGGTGCGCGCCTGACTGGTACCATCACCGCAATGCACTGCAGCACATGTCTCCGCCATCATCACTACGTAGTGAGCTGCGTATCGTCGCTCGAGTTCTTGTCGTGCTTCAGGAAGCACCCACCACACGTTCGCATTGGAAACCACATGTTGGTGACTTGGTACTTTGGCTCGGCCAACAGCCAATCCGATTGCTTGATGCATTTGATTGGCTTGCTTGTAACCAATCAAATGGCGGCGACTCAATCCTGGTGCCACCGAATGGCTGCAACGCCCCTCGGGGATCGCTTGTCCCGTGGTATGCCATGATGTGCTACAGTACCATGCGGCTTCAATACGGCCTCAATACTGCCTTGTCCTTGCCTTCCAGTGCTGCTCACTTTTTCATTTGCCTTCGCACTCCAAGATGGCTCCGAACGCGCCGCCCGTCGTGCATGACGAGGTCACGCCGCAATACCACAACGTGACGACGCCCGTGTACCGGGCGACGACGACGAAACCGGACCCGGTGCAGTCGGCGCCGTCGCTTTTCGTGCACTGGATCATCGGTCTGTTGCTCGCCTTCTCGGTCTTTACCGTCACGGTCTACTACATGCCGATCCGTGATCCCATCACGACCAATGTCCTCAACAAGTGGTGGGATGTCAACCCCAAGGTCAAGGGCTCGGGGCACTCGGAGATGACGATGCCCACGTACTTCTTCTTTGGCGTCGTGCTCCCGGTCCTCGTGTCGTTCTTGCTCGTGCGCTTTGTGACCAAGGGCGTGCAAGCGCCCGTGCCGCACCTCTCGCATTGGCTCCAGCGCAAGCCGCGCTTTGCATTCTCGCTCGTGAGCTATGGCGAGATCCTCTTCCTCATCGTCATTACGGTCGGGAACGTCCTCTTCTTCTACTACTTTTACTCGGCCCGCGTGACGGCCAAGACATCGTACGACAAGCGCATCGGTGTCGCGGCCAAGACGCTCGGCTTCTCGACCTTGTACAACATGGCGTTCCTCGCGCTGCCCGCGACCCGCCACTGCTTTTGGATGGAGTGGCTCGGTATTCCGTACGCTCATGGTATCAAGTACCACCGCTGGCTCGGGATTGTGACGATTCTCGCGCTCTTCTTCCACACAGTGTTTTACATCAAGGACTATGCCAACGATGACGACCTTATCGGGCTCCTGCCGTGCTTCAACTGCAACATTGGGGCGGGCGAAGGCAAGTCGCGCTGGGTCAACTCGTTCGGATGGCTCTCGGGCATTTCCATGTTCATCATGGGTCTCACGTCCATGCCGTTCATTCGCCGCCGCTTCTACAACGTGTTTTACGTCACACACTTTCTCTTTATTCCGGCCGCGTACTTTGCCGTTTTGCACTGGGGCAACATTGTCATTTGGCTCTTTACGACCACCGTGCTCTACATTGTGAACCGCATGATGTCGTCGGCGACCATCCAAGCACCGGTCGTCATCCAGAAGGCCGCCGCGTACCCGCACGAAGTAACTGAGCTCGTGTTTGAGTGCGCGACCTCGTACCAAGCCGGCGACATTGTCTACATCAAGGTCCCGTCGGTCTCCAAGACGCAGTGGCACCCGTTCAGCGTTGCGTCAACGCCGCTCCACACGCCGGGCTCGCTCACGGTGTACATCAAGACGCTCGGACGCTGGTCTGGCCAGGTGCACGAGTACATTCGCCAGTGCACGGCCGCCGGTGTCGACCCCGTTGTGTACATGGACGGCGGGTA